ATATATATATATATATATATATATGTATATATATTAAGAACTGGGGATGTATTGCAGTGCGACCGCAATCCTGAGTTTGATCCTGTCCTGAAGAAAGAAGAAAGAATTTCTGCCATGTGCAACAACATGATGAATCTGGAGGACAGTGTACTGAGTAAAATAAGTGAGACAAAAATGACAAACATTACACAATCTCTTTTATATGTATAATCTAAAAAATGTTAAACTCATTGAAATAGTGAGTTGTGCATTGGCTGGAGGGTAGGTGAGAGAAATGAGGAAATATTGGTCCAAGAACACAAACTTTCATTTATAAGACAAGCTTTGGGGATCTAATATAAAGCATGGTGGCTATGGTTTGTAATAGTATATTGTTTACATAAAATGTGTTTAGTGTATCTGTGCCCCAACAACACACACACACACACACACACACACACACACACAAATAGTAATAATGAGTCACGATGTATATGTTAAATTGATGGTGACAATTATTTTACAACATATATATAAAATATATATATAATTTATATATATATATCATATATATTATAAAATCAGTGTACACTTTGAGTGTATACAATTATTATTTGCAAATTAAACCTCAATAAAGTTGGGAACTAAAAAGAACAGGTAAAATTAATTTTAAAATATATTTTATTCACCCAATTATGCAAAATATTATAATTTCAACTTAAACAAAAATTATCAATGAGATTTTTACATTTTTGCATACAAAATCTTTAAATTCATATACATTTTGCACATACAACACCTATCAGTTCAGGTCTTTATTTTGGTCTTTATCAGAAGTAGATGATTTCAAAATAAGTATAGTTTAAAATAAATTCTGGGCTGGGGATTTAGCTCAGTGAATCCGCCACCTGCCTCGCAAGAGCAAGGTCCTTAATTCGATCCCCGGTACAAAAAATAAAAAAAGTAAATTCATACAGTCCAAGTTTTCTAAACATATTTGAGTTATCCAGTAACGGAAGCATGTATCAGTTTTTGAGCTAAAATTAGATACAATTAAAATTCAATTATTCAATTGTACTAGCCACATTTCAAAGCTCATTTGGCTATCACAGGTCGATAGTACAAGTTTTATTTATTTATTTAGTCCCAGGAATCTAACTCCGGACCTTGTACTTGCGAGGCTGGCAGCAGAACCACTGGGCTAAATCCCCGGCCCCACAAGTTTTTTTATTAAATATTTAAGCACCTTTGGGTGACATTTCTGGCCTCAAATTAGTACTAAAAAAACCCAAATTGGTGAGCAGAGTATGAAGTTAGGAAGAGGTTCTAATATTGAATATTATGGGTTACCTTCAGTTTCTCCTTAATGGTCCACAACCACTGAGACAAGGGATGGCTGAGAAGAAATGGTGAGGGTATTGACAAAAGTTTCTACAATCTGTGAATGCTGAGGTTAATTGGGGGAAACAGAGTTCATGATAGTAAAGTAAAAGTTTCTTAATATTAACACTTTGTAGACCTTATTACTGTCACTGAGTGAATAAACAGATTTAAGCGATGGACAGACTCCGATAAAGAGAAAATAGTTATAATGGAAAGGGATAGTTTTGTTCTAACTTTTTCATAAACTATTAAGTCACCACAAATAACATCCCAAATTATAAAATACAAGTCCCTATTTTTTCCCAAAACAATGAAAGTCTCGTTTTACTTAGGCACAAGTATAGACATGCTGCTTTTTGGCATAGTCGTAAGTAAAACCTGTAAAAATTAAACGTCATTACATTTCAAAGAGCACTTCATAAGTATTTCCTATTTTTTGTTGGGAAGTTCTTCTGGGAATATACAGAAAGGATTCATCCAGAATATTTCATCTTTATTTACCAAATCCTCTTGTTGTTATAGTCTATGCACTGTTAGGCAAAGAAAGAGAAAAGGCTATTGGATATGATGGGAGTTCACCTGCGAAAAAGGCTAGCAGGAGCCACAAAGTAGCCCAGGCTAGGCTCAAACTAACAGTGATCTTCCTGCCTCTGCCTTCCAGTACTGGGATTACAGACCTGCAACCACACCCAGTTTGAGCTTCCCGTTTTACCTGGCAAATCCATACTGTAGTACAACTTGGAAGTAGTGGTAAGATAAATGGAAAGGAAAGCTTCCCTTGGAAAATAATTTCCAAAGTGAATCTTGGCCATAGCAGGGAAGAGGCTGGGGGAAAGAAAACAAAACAAAACACAAAACAAAACAAACCTTTCTGGGTGGAAATACAGCAAAGCAAACGGAGTTCCAAAGACGTTAGAGTCCAGGAACTGAAAGAAGCAAAGAAATTGGGGTAAGGAAGAAGGAAGGAGGTATTGGCTTTGTCTTTCAGGAGGTTCTAAGCCCTGTAAGGAGTTTGCACGTCACGGTAAAACGAGTGAAATTCCAACAGAGAACTGGGAGTAGCCTATTTAGGATACAGTTTGAAGAACCGACTACAGTTAGGGAAGACAGGTCACAGGAAAGTCGGGAGATTACTGATATAATTCAGGCGAGAAATCAACACAGGCAGCGGGAAGACAAGTGCATTAGACACCTTATCTTGAAATGGCAGAGAATGAATCAACTATGAAGAGGGACAGAGTAGGACTGAGATGTAGGAAAACCACAACAGCACAGATTAGAAAGAAAACTGAACAAAGAAGTTAAATGCTCTTTGAGAACTCAAGTATAAGAAGTGACTCTTGATTTGACCAAAAGGAAGTCACCACTGAGCTTTGGCAAAGGGCGTTTCAGTGGAATGGTCCAGGCCAAAAGGGTCACAGTTGTTTGCGCAGAGGAAGACGCAGACCTTGGAACCCAGCGGGAGAAATATAAGGCTCTCAATTATTTTTTGCCCTTTTAAGAATAACTCGAGGGTCAAGGAGAGTTAGAGAAGGAGCAGCGAGTGCCCCAATCAGGCGGAATGGCGCAGCAAGCCGATCTCTAGAGACCAATCCGCTCTTATAGCGCACTTGAGTGACAGCGCCGCGCGCCAAAGACGGAGCGCAGAGAGGGGAGAGTAATCACGAGGGGGCGGGATCCAGGGCACTAACCCGGAACCGTTTGGGACTCGATTCCCATTGTGAGGCCCTGGCCTGGGGCGGGATCTCAGCAGAATGGCAATTTTATGTAATCCAATGGATGAGCCGTATCAAATAAAAGGCAGCCATTCTAGCCAATAGAGAGAGGGAGAAGTTGGTGGGCGGGGAATCAATGAAGCATCTCTTTTCTACCACCCTGAGGGGCGACCCTGAGGAGATGCACCCGAGTCACAGGTGAGGTTACTGTGCTGGAGAAGGCGGCGAGGAAAGCTGTGGCCTCACGGAAATTGGGTGTCCTCTTAGCGTGGGCCGGGGTGTGCGGGGTCCTGGAGGAGTCAGCGGCAGGTGGTTGCCTTCCTCCTGCCGGCACTGGCCTTGGTTTTGCAACGTAGCGGGACTACGGCGCTCGTGAGAAGGACCGCAATCGGGTGCCGCCCGGCCAGGGAGAGTGAGGAGGGCCCAGGCCGCTAAAACAGGTCTTCAGAAGTTTTGGGGCACACAGTTGGGACTTTCGTTCCAATTCTGGAGAGAGGGATTCCCCCTTCCAAGTTGCCTGACTTCCCACCAGGTGCAGCCGCGTTGTTGTAGCAGTCAGCGCGCGTCCCCTGTACCCGTGGCCTCGGGAATCCAATCCGGGATTCTCCCCAGGACCTCACTGAGAGGCCGCGAGGGGCGGCAGGGAGGGTGGAGGGGTCTTTGATAACTGGTGACCCTAAACTTGAGTTGTTTGCCTATTACTAGTTAAGAGAACAGCAACCTATTCGGCCGGGAAGTGAATCTCCTGTAAGAATATAGGGGAGGGGAACGCCACTCTTTAAAGTGGATTCAGGTGGGAGGATTGAAGAAAGTTTGAAGGTTTGTGATGCTTTTCTTCGCGAACTGCTTAATGAATTTCTCTCTCTCAACTTAGACTTTGCTGCTTATTTTTAAAATTCTGCCTTATCATGCAATGTCTAGAAATTTATTTTTCGATCAGTCATTGTAAATAATCACCCCGTTATGATATGCAATTGGTGGTACATCATCTTCACAAGGATTGTGTGAGTGGAGTGCATATTATTTCCATTTTCAACCAGTAAAGAATGATTGCAAGATGAGAATTTAGGAAATGGCTGTTCTCTGTTATTGGACATTGAAGATCTGTAAGTTTTAGATTTAGGGACTGCGACTATTCAATTCCCTGCTGCAAAGACAGGAATGGCAACCAATAAAAAAGACATAGTATTTGACATCTTTATACATTTTATGGGGTATTTTTTATAACTGCAGCACTTGTTGCCTTGCACATTGTAGGAGGTTAGTAAATGTATTTTGAAGAAGTTTTGGGGAGTAGATGAACAGAAAAATCCAAGATTTTGTTACATGGATACAAAAATGTAAAGGTGATGACCACAAGACTAACATTCCCGAATGCATTTTTTTTTACATGTTTAAAAATAACTACCAAATTTTAACAACTCAGCATGCATTAATCTAAGTATTTTTGCCCTTAGAAAATGTCAAGGTTTCAGGGAAAGGGTTTCACACACAAGTCAAAGTTGACAGGAAATCTAAAATATCAATTTCTTTTGGGTTTAAAGTGATCTTAAGTGCATTTTGTGAATAAAATATTTCATTAGCTCAGCATATATCAAGAACAAAGGGACATCACTTTGTAAGGTAGAAGTATGGAAAAAATAGGTCATGTAAATAGCAGCTACTGCTGCCAAATTTTAAAAACACGGTATATTGACTCGAGGATAGGTTAAAAGGACTTTTATTTCTGCTATGTGCCAATAAATTCATAGTCCATTTACTAAATCGATCTCAAATTCAAAATCTGATGGTGGATATCAGCATAAATTAGGATTTTCCTAACAGTTTAAATTTATTGTATTATGCACTTATATTTATCATATATTAGTTTATGTATTATTATAGTAAGTGGCTTGTATGAAAGATGATGTGCTTGAACTTTAAAAACGTGAGCTTTCACAGTTTATTTCACAGTTTGTTTTAATTAGCAAAGTATAAGATCTTGCTGTTAAAGATTTGCTAATATTTGACCCCAGTTTAATTTTCCAGCTTTAATTCTTGGTACTTCTCCCTTTTGTTTCTGTCCCTCATTGGTCTATTTCTTCAAGTAAAACACTAATTCCTTCTGAAAAACCTTTTTTATTCTGTCACAGATTTTTCCTTCTGGACATCCTGAATATTTTGTTAGGACTTCTTTACTGTACTCTTCAAACGTTAACATTAAATTATCCAGTACAGGATTATTTCTTACTATGTCCAGGTACTATACTAAAAGTTAATAGATACTAACTAGCTGTCAGTTTTTTGTAAGTTTACTATATCTTAGTCCTTATAAACTTCTTCATTGGATTATGTCTTTTAATTCTTGGGATACCATGAGTGTTATTGTTATTCCCATTTATAGATGGTAAACAAAAGTTTAATTTGCTGGTGATCAGAGACCTAGGAAGTGGGAGAACTGGCATTCAAGCCTAGGTAGTCTGTGTTCACAACTTTTACTCCATTACTTTTTCATATGCATTTTTTATACATCTGTGTTTTACAGGTTTCACTAGGTTGTAAATTATTTGATTACAGCCTATATTCTTCTGATCTCTGGTATAACGTTCTGTTATTTTTTTTTCCCCAAAATAAACTAGCTTTTTCTACATTGTAAGCCTGTGGCAGAAGAGGTCTTTCCTTACCAGTCTCTGAAAGGAAAATCCTTAGCAGCTACAGCATCTGTACCCCTTGCCTTTCTGTGCACATCTGAAAAAATAGGCTTTTAATACTCCTTCCCTAGCAGGGTGGTTCTCTGTGTTAGCTGACAGAGAGCTTTTAAAACACCTAATGTCTGGTCCTATCCCAAGACTGCTTTAGTTGGTCAGAGATAGGGTTTGGCCAGAAGTATTTTTAAAAGGCCCTTAGGGTGACTTTTTTGTGTGTGTAAGGTTGAGTTTTACCCATACCCTCTAACTCCTCTGCTCAAGTAATCCTCTTCCTTCAGTTTCCTGAGTAACTGGTGCTGTAGACTCTATGTGATTTTGATGCCCTGTAGACTTAACACTCTTCAATATATTAGCTGCTGGGTACAGGTGCTCTTGAGCTGATGAAATGTGGCTGGTACAAAATGAGATGTGCTGTTAACTATAAAATACTCAATTAAAAAAATTTAATGGAAATAAGAATGGGACTAATTTTTATATTATAAATTATGATAATATAGAGATTATAACAGGTTAAATAAAGATTAAAATGGCACTTTTTAATTTTTACTTTCACTGTAACCACTAGGAAATTTAAAATCACATGCGTGGGTCACATAATATATATATTTTTTGGGGGGGGGGCAGTGTTCTTTTAGCCTCTCAGTAGATTTGTGAGCAGTAGATTTATGAGACTTGAAAAATATCTGTTACTATAATAAAAACTTCTCATATATAGTTAATTGTAATCACCTCAGAGTAAAGTGTACTGTGAGCTAACAAATAGGCACATGCCTAAAGTGAAATGACGGGTACACAGAATCCCTGGAGCCAGTGATTGTGGTTCACAGAGTTGGTGATCCTGGTGCAGAGAATAGCATGTCCTGTCTCTGTGAACCCTGATAGATGGCGCCTCTGTGAATATACACACAATTCATTTTGCTTGGATTAACTCTTAACAGCTGCACAGGCATGATGATGATATGCTGAGATGTATCCCTGCTGTAATGGGACATTTATTGCATATATTCCATTTTGTAGCATAGTATAGTTTATTTTTGTACAGTCCCCTATTGATGGATACTTGAATTTTTACCATGAAAATATGACAGTAGTTTTTTATGTGGTTCAAAAAGCTGTTTATATTCTGTGAAACATTGTAGGTTTTTTGGAAAAGTCATCTTCATCACATTGTAGGGATTTGTGACTTTAGTTTTCTGTTCTACTTTTAAGACATCTAACCTCCGATTTTATTGCTCCTTGCCTATCTATGTTGACTTGAGCTACTTCTTTTTTTTAAAGCAAATTCTTTGATAGCCCATAGAAACTTCAGCTTTCCTAATTTAATCTTCAATTATTTTTCGTTTCTTTTTTTTTTTTAATCCCCTGGTCACTGCTTAATTTTATGTTTTCACCTCTTCCTATTTGTTAGGTGTATGTTGTGTATTGAAAGTGCTGTCTTTGGAGCAGGTGGTCTGCCTTCTAGTTCTCAGCAGTAGGGCAAATGGTGGAAGAAGGAAAAAGCCAAGTTTTGATTTCATTTGTTCATTCAGGTATCCTGCAACACAGGATAGTAGGAGAGATATATTGGTCCTGGTCCAGTGATATAAAAGTCAATTGCTTGCTGGGCATTTAGCTCAGTGGTGCCACCACCTACCTCGAAAGCACAAGGTCCAAAGTTTGATCCCCAGTACAAAAAAAAAGTAAGTTGCTTCAGTTTTTTTGTATTATTGGTTATAAACAAGGCATTTTCAGAGTATTTTCAGAGAAAATCTGAATACTTGCCCATTCTGCTGGATAACTTGAATTACATCAGGAATGTTAGACCAGAGTGCTAATTAAAAGTGATTCTCTAAAATTACAAGTATTATAGAATGTTTACTTAACTTGTTTGGGATCTTGGGTTAAAATATTTCATTTCTTTAATTTTTAAATTAGATACTAATTTGATATATGCGAAAATATTGTTACCATAATGGTTTAGAAAACCAGCCCCCGTCCAATGAAAAGAAATCCTAATTTGTAGCATTTCCATGCTATAATGTTTAAAGCTGTGGTGTAAATATTGCCATTTTGGCCCTTGTTTAGCTTCCTACCTGATATCTCTGAAGGTGGAGTTGAAGAGATGTGTATTTGACATTTGTGAACTCTCATGAATAGGCTTTATAATATAGCATATATGTTATAAAGACCCATAGAACTACCAGTTACCTTAACTAGAAGAATACCAGTATTATTGTGACCTTTTTGTTCACTTTATTAAAATTATTTAGATTTTGTCTTTAATAATAGCAGATACTTGACAATGCTTAGTGTGTGCCAGGAGATGTTTTACATATTTTACTAAATCCTTTATTTCTTTAAGGGAGGTTAAATAATTAAGGCCACATAATTAGGAAGTAGCAGATCCAAGGCCCTTATTTGGGGAGGCTGACTCCAGAATCTGCTCATAATCTCTATACACATTTCCTCTATATGATGTTTTAATTTATAAATACCTTTACTTATATTCGGTTTTTTACTTATATTCTTTTGACAAAAGACATCCCTATGTTATTATCAATCTCAATGTCACTGATTACACATTCTGATTTAGTGGATTTCAATCGTTAAATGTCTTTTGAAATATTTTGAAGCTGTAATTTAAAAATAGTTGGTAGCAGTCCTTGTTTTTGCATACTTTGTTCTTTTTGTGTATGTTTTGTGAAATTTATTTTTTTTTAGAGTTTTCTGCTATTTAGAATTTTTAGTTCTCTATGACCTTGAATTTAATAGAAAGTGGCAGTTCTGAAGATAGTTATTCCACATGAGTGAGTAGAAACAAAAAGATGTGCTGGGCATATTTTTGGTGGTATTATTAGAAACATACAAAGTCAGTTGAATAAAGGTGGAAACTAGAAAAGACAAAAGAATAAAAATTTACTGAAACAGTAATAAAAATACTGTTATTAAAATTTCAAAATAAGGAATTAGCATCCACTTTTAACTCTAAAAGAGAAGGCTTGAACAGTAATAGAAAAGACTATTTTCTAGTTAAATTTACTCTTGCTTATTTGCTGTACTTTTACTTTATAGGGGATACTATTTGTATTTTGAATTACCAACTATTTTTCACAGTAATAAAAATTTTAAATGGCAGACATCACGCTAAAAGGTAAACTAAGATACAGTAAAATTTTAAACAGTTAATTTGAAGAAACAGATTTATGAATTGGGCAGCTTTATACCAGAAATATTTCATCATAGATTCTGCTGAGGGAGTACAAGGAGAAGGCTTTTATAGGATGAAAATGGAAGTAAAACAAAGAAAATATTTCATGGGTTATATTCATCTGCCTCATTGGGTCTAGCCTGTGGAAGAGTTCCACATTATAAAACTAAATTTGTTGGCTTCTTCTGATTGGTTGGCCTCATGTTTCATTTTTCATATATATGCTACTGATAACCCACGTAATTTTGTTTATACTTACAAATCAAAGTTAAGGTAACTTAGGTCTAACTGGCTGTGTCTGCTAGGAATTCTTCAGGCCTGGTCTTCGTTTTAATTTACTCTAACACATGATGGGAGAAATTAAGTGGTTAAAGCTTTGAGGAGTTTTTCTACCTATATAAAAAATTGTATTTAAATCTTCCATATAGATAATCTCCTTTTGAAAATTTACTAAATGATATCTCAAGACTTACCTTAACATATTTCTGATTTAACTATCACAGGCTTCTAATAAAGTTGAGGTATATATGACATAAGGGAAACTGAGTATGAGTCCTGTCATTTAGCCATGTGCAAATTAACCTTTCAATCTTGTTTTATAAATAAAAATGCTGATAATTGTAATACAATGGTTGGATGTGGATTAAATCAGAGGACCTGGAATTTTATGGATACTTGGCATTTTTTCTTCACATTGCCCAAAGAAGTTCATGGTAAAGAGTGATGGATCTGGAAAAAAAAAATCTCATCCAATCCTCTCATTTTGTAGGCTATAGAATGTAGCAGTGATCACTGAGGTAATTTGAAATTGGAGATCGTGAATATATATTTCTTTTTCTTTCTTGTTTCCAATTACATGCCTTTGAAATCTGTTTTCCAAGTAGAAGATTTTCTAATCTCTATCCACTTTTCTCTTGAACCAGTATTTATAAAGCAGTATTTGCTACAGTACCATATGAGATATTGGGGCCATTTCTGCCTCTAGGAAAAAAATGAGTTCCTGACAGAGAACTCAACATCTGTTCCAACAGATGTTCCCAGATTGCATCTTTCCATACTTCAAAGGCTACATAGCAGAAAAACAGTTCCCCTCAATGAAGATTTTGGATGTGCTTTACACAATATTCCACCACTAGCTGCTCTTGTGTAAGACTTGACTGTTAGCAGGAGTCAGGGTTGTGAAGCATTCATTTTATTGATGTGGGTCTTGTGCAGAAATTCTCAAACTTTGATATGATTATGGTCATCTAGAGGGCATACAGAAGCTGGGATAGCTGGGTACCACCTCTACAGTTGCAGATTCAATTAGTCTGGTGTGGGGTATATCTGGTAAGTTTCAGATTGATGACCCCCAAGGGCACATGTCATCTGGAAATTGGAGTTCTGTCTTCTTGCCTCTAAAACAAATGCTTACAAGAGAATCTTTCCCACCCTGAATTCTTACTAACATTTTACCACATGTATGTTTTTATATTTATTATAGCAAGACTTAAAGTACAGTATACCTGGTTATGTGCCACTGTCTTCCAACTCTGCAGTTAAAGTTGCCCAGAATGTTATGAAGTACTACTGAGAAAACCTCCACAGAAAAAAGAATAATGAAATGTATTAATGAACACACCACTCAGTGTGCTTTTGTTTGATGTTAGGGGCTTTTGTTTGGGGTGGCTACTGGGTGGGAAGAATGTGGTACACACTGAGGGAGAATTACAATGATAAACCAAGAACTGTGTATAGCTCCAGAATATGGAGCAATTGACATTTTTGCTTTTTTGTTGTTTTTGTTTTGATTAGAATTAGTTTCATTGTTTCAGAAATTTTATTCTAAGTTTAGAGTTTTTTATTGGTTTAACCCAAAAATGGGTTTTAATTTATGAAGTAATATATAGTGATTTGTCATTTTTTAAACACATTAAGTCAAACTGGTTTCTGAGTTTTACTGCTTTTTCATCTCAGCCCTCTAGTTTTTCTCCAGGCTGGTTTTTGTTTTGTTTTTTCGTTTGGCATCTCAAAGTCATGGCTGTTTTAGCAGATCAACACACTCATTCAGCATAAATTTGTCATATGCTTGCCGTAGGCTAGAAACTCTTCTGGGCTCTGAGGAGGTGATGGTGAGCAGAAACATTCCTGTACCCTCATGAAACTTAGCAAAGTGGAGAAGAATAGACCAAGAAGGGAGCCATCCATTTTGTGGGCAGACTGAAGTATGAGTAGAGGTCCTGAGCAGATCAGGAGCTTGACAGGCAAACATGGCTGAAAGCAGGCTGGAATTGGTGGAGGAAACGGTAGATTCATGGGGTGGATTCAAACGTAGATTCATGGTAGATTCAAACGTAGCAGGTTGGTTGGTTGGTTGATTTTACTTTACTTTTTCCTTTCAGGAATTATCCAGCTTGCCTCCACTTGTAGATGAGTGGAAAACCCAATGATTTGAGCTAAGTGCCAACAGGGGATTGTCCTTGGTTTTTGTGCTATTCAGCATTCCTGAAGTTCTTTTCACATCTTCTCTTATTGTAAAAAGTGCATTTAAGTTTTGAAAAATGAAGCAGTTGAAAAGAAAAAGGAAAAGCAATTTTAGTGTTCAAGAAACTCAGACTCTTTTGAAAGAAATTACCAAAAGGAAAGAAGTCATTTTTTCCAAGCAGCTCAATACAACAATAAACGTGATGAAGCGAATGGCTTGGGAGGAGATTGCACAGTGTGTGAATGCTGTAGGGGAAGGAGAACAGCGAACAGGGACAGAAGTGAAAAGAAGGTACCTTGACTGGAGAGCTCTTATGAAGAGAAAGAGAATGAAGGCGAACATTAAGCTGGTGGGTTCTGGATTTCCCCTTCCCACATCTGATTTAGATGATTCCCTCACTGAAGAGATAGATGAAAAGATCGGATTCCGAAATGATGCAAATTTTGACTGGCAAAATGTAGCAGATTTCAGGGATGCAGGTGGATCCTTAACAGAGGTCAAAGTAGAAGAGGAAGAAAGGGATCCCCAGAGTCCTGAAGTAAGTATTAGTCTGTGACTTTTTTTTATGTTCAACTCTAATGTGAGAGTTTATAATCCTCAAATAATAAATTAATTCTCATATTTTCAAGCTTAACAAGATTGTTCTGTTTATGTTTTGTTTACATTACTAAGTTGAGAAACCTTAATTGTCTCAATTTTGAGTATTAGTGATACCAGGTAATTCAGTGTAAATTGTTTTCACACTTCAAATTAAGTGGTTTTGTGTATTCAAACAATGCAGGAAATTATGTGTTTAAACAGTACTAAGAAGTATTTGGACAAACAACGATCACTGTATGAAATAGAAGTAAATACTGAAAATCATTTGTCTCTTTTCTTTTTAGTTTGAGATTGAGGAAGAAGAAGAGATGTTGTCATCTGTGATACCAGATTCCAGGAGGGAAAATGAGCTTCCTGATTTCCCCCACATTGATGAGTTTTTCACACTTAATGCAACGCCATCTAGATCTGCATATGACGATCCCCATTTGCTTGTAAACATAGAGAAACAGAAACTAGAGCTGGAAAAACGACGACTGGATATTGAGGCCGAGAGACTGCAGGTAGAAAAGGAACGCCTGCAGATAGAGAAAGAAAGGCTGCGACACTTAGACATGGAGCATGAACGGCTCCAGCTGGAGAAGGAGCGGCTACAGATTGACAGAGAGAAGCTAAGGTTACAGATAGTCAGTTCCGAAAAACCATCCTTGGAAAATGAACTTGGCCAAGGAGAAAAGTCTTTACTTCAGCCACAAGACATAGAAACAGAGAAGCTAAAACTTGAGCGAGAACGCTTGCAGCTGGAAAAAGATAGGCTGCAATTTTTGAAGTTTGAATCTGAGAAGCTGCAGATTGAAAAGGAACGCTTACAAGTGGAAAAAGAGAGACTTCGAATTCAGAAAGAGGGACACTTGCAGTGATTTTTTTTTTTTTTTTTAGGTCTTAGTGAATGTTTATATAAACTAGATTTTTCTCAGATGACGTGTAGTTGCTGGATTAGTGTTCTTTTCCTAATGTCAGTGTTTTCCATAGGTAAAGGTAGTTATGTATGGATAGCTGTATGCTTAAGTAGTACACTGTATAAAAACTCTGTGCCCTAATATAAACAGAGTAGAGAATTATTGTACTAGACTTCACATTAGTAATACTATATAGAATCTTGTATTATCTGTGCACCCAGAGTTTACAATTATGTCTATACAAAATTCTAGTCCAGTTGTTCTCAATTGAGGTGATTTGGGCCCTGGGAAAATATTTGGTAATGTCTGGAGACATTTTTGGTTGTCAAAACTGATGTTTGGAGGCAAGTGGCTCCTTGCACCTAATGTTGTAGAGGCTGCAGATGCTCCTAACCTTCCCGCAGTGCACAAGTCACCCCTCTTCACAGTAGAGAATTCCCCAACCCCAAATGTCATTAGTATCAAGTTTAAGAAACCCCGTCCTAGTCCAACTGTGCACCTCTATTGCTATGTTGTATAGTTTTAGAATATTAAAACCTCAGATACTTAAATGGGTAGATAATTAAATGGCCAAAAACTTTTAACTATGAAATAATACTGTGTAGTATGTTGATTGTAGGAAATGATGAAAATTATAGGTATTTTATTCCCATTTTCCATTTACAAATGGCCTAATAGAAAATAATACAGGGAACATCTGAAATTATTTAAAATGAGTTACTTTGAAGAGTAGTTCTTTCATCTGTTGATGCTTTGGAAGCAACAATTTTGAGACTTTAGTTCCCCTTCTCTTCAAATTGTTTTTTAGTTTGAATATGAAAATTATAATTTCCATCATGTACTCAAATCTTATGTAAGAGAATGGTAGAAGGTAGTAAAAATGGTACCAGTAGTCCATAAGTTTGAACCCAATAAATGGTTGGGTGACTTTTAAAATATAAAATAATAGCTTTTTGGGATTGGGAAGTGGAGGAGAATATACTTTGTATCAAATAATGATATTGGGACAATGGTAATATCTGTGTGTTATGGATAGGAGAAGTACTTGTCACACACTATTTGACCTAATCTTTACAACAGTTTTGTATGTAGTATCTATTTCTGAGTCTGAAGCTTAAAGTCACACAGTGAGTAAATTGCTGATCTTTTATATTGCAGCATATTTTGTCTTTGCTCCTCCCTGAGGAACAAAGTTTGTATCTTCAATCCTTTTGATATTTTGAGGCCAAGGGCAGGTTTACCTTGGTGATTTGCCTTCAGTGTCCTGAAGGTGCTTTTTTTTCACAGTCCAGGTAATTCTGATGCACACAAGTTGAAAATGGCTGCACGAGTTCACTTTGTGTTTTCTGATTTCCAGGGCTAATATATAGCTTTAATACATCTCCTCTTGACAAACTACCTTGATTCTCTCTTTGTTTCTTGTTAATTTAAGAATGGCTTGAAAACACATTGACATTTGAGTATGGGTATGCAAGAGAAAAATATACTTCTGCTTACCCACATTTTGAAATAGTGTTATTTTTCTATAACTATAATAAATACTTCTACTGTAGAAATAAATTTGTTTATACCATCTGTGTGAAAGTTTATCATTTCAAGTGCTTCTCTGTGGTCTAACACTGGAAGTTAACAAGCCTCAGAGAGAACCCTGTCATGATGAATGTGGGCAGGGGCCTAACACTTGGGTTAGACTTCGGAGCTGCATACATCGCATATATTATTTATTTGCTCCTTAAAATAACCCTTGAGCTAAGTTGTGTAATCCCCACTTTTGTAAGAAAGAAAACTGTCACATATATTTACTAAATGCCTGAAAAATATACTAATACCCAAGATTGAAGGATAAGAGTAGCAGTATTGCAGCTGGAAAAGGTATTGTGGCTTTTTCATTTGATACTTAATGTCTGTCAGCTAGTCCTTCCACTTGATTTCCTCAGTTATAAAATGAGCATAATGCGCTGACTCACTCTGCTAATGCTCCATAGTTTATTTAAAGAAAACTGTAAGTATACAAAGTATCATATGCTGCTCAAATGCAAAATAGTGATTTCAGATCAATAGATTTTAGTTTCCTGGGGAAAACATAAGGATAGCTAATTATTAATTTTGGATGGAGTATACTTGAGCTCCTGGAAGAAAGAAAATAAAACAAAGCCTAGTGTCTTTCAGGGCTTTGGTTATGAGCCTTGGGTTTCTTAATTCTGTCCAGTGCAAATAGGTCTCATCACTACCAATAGAGAGTTGCCTTTCTTGTCAGCTCTCGCTGTGCCACAAACTATAAAGAATTTGATGGTTGGAAATAACTCATCTTTTTGCTCATAATTTTATAAAAAATCAGGCTGAATTTAGCTGGGTAACTTTGATCTTGGCTGGGTTTCTTCCAGGTTGGCAGGATAATTCAGCTTCTGGAAGTTAGCTGAATTTGGGTGGACAGTGGGGCTGAGCTGCTGTGGTGTTTATCAGCCAGCCAGCAAGCTTGGTCTTGGTCTAATATGGCTGGCAGAAGTCCAGGAGAAAGCAGAGGTGCTCAACATGTCTTGAGGCCTAGTCTTACGAATAGATACAAAATCATACTCCTGTGCTGTATGGACCCCAAAATTAATTACAGGGGTAGAGCAGAGTCAAAAGATAGGGATTATGGTTTATTTCTTGGTCAAAGGAACTGTGCAGTTTTGTAAAAAGAAAAAGGATATGGGGATGAAAAATTAGGCCACTCAAATCAATCTGTCACAGCTCCATTCTGATTGGCCTGGGATACTTCTGACTTTATCAGTGTCCCTGGAACCCTATCTGATTTAGTATTTGTCCTCGACATTTGAAGACAGAGTTAACAACCAAGTTCAAAGAAATATCTTACATCCTTTTGTGTGAAGGTGCTGATTTACAAGAAGGTGCCATAAATTTACAGAAAAAACATGTTCTCTTGGGCCTTACAAGTTAAACACTGATCTTTGCAATTGAAGAGAATTCTTGCTTCTTTTTTTTTTTTTTTTTTGGTGCCTGGGATGGCACCTAGGACTTTGTGCTTGCCAGGCAGGTGAGGCGCCACTGAACTACATCCCGTGTCCTATTTCATTTTCTACCTGATTTGTTCGTTTTGTACTATTTTGTTTCTCTTCATTAGTCTACCTCTTCATGCTTTGTTACCTCTCTGTATATAAAGCAGATCTTAGTGCTTTGAGAATATTTAGAGTTAATACCTGCCTTTACCTATTTCTGCCCTTAACGATTTTTGTTTTTAACCCCAAGTGATTTTTACTATGTTACTGTACATTGACATTATATTTTTGCAAAAGTAAATACAATTTTTTGATTTTACATTTTAAGGGCTTGTTTTCAAATATGAAGTTATAACTTCTAAAGCTACCAGAGTTCTAATAGACTATTTCCTTTCTCAACATCTAACTTCTTTTTGACATTCTAATCCTTTGTGTGTACCAGGCAATATTTTGCACAGTGCCTTCATGAAAGTCCAAGTGAAGATTGTCAAATGTATCTCTGAAAAATCTCTGCCCCAATGCATATTGAAAGAGATTTAACCTATGTATAACTGGAAGACAGCTGAGAAGAATACATATTCTTGGAAAAAAAAATAGGTATGTTGGTTGCTTAAATCTCATAAGATTAATTTACCACTGTAGATTGAAGCCAACAGATTATACTTTTTCATTTAAGACGGGTGAAAGAAGAAATTATAATAATTACAAAACTTGAATTTTGAAGTATTTCCAGAAATTAAGAAGTTACTCAATATTCATTGAGGCATATCCCTTAATATTTAGCATTTATTTTTCTGGTGTGATCTAATTTTTAAAAAAAATTAGTAATGTGAAATAAAAAACTGATTTTTCCCTTCATGCTTTAATCTCTAGTTTCCACATTTGAACTGTACTATAAATCTGAATATTCAATTGTTACAAGCATCTCCCCTTGTGTAATTAGCTGTTTTTTTGTCAAGCATGGAACCCAGCTCTGAACTCATTAGCTACTTCCTCTTGGAAATCTTTTTCCCCTGTGGTGGCACCATTTGTTCCAGGTTGTTTGGAAATTTTAAAGGTGTCTTCAGATCCTTTGCCTTCCTTATTTTGCCCAAATAGTTGACTAAGGTCTGTCTTGGCTTCTGGTGATGCTTCAGATCAGTTTCTTCCAAGCTCACGTGTAACCCATAGCACAGGGACCGCTACAACTTGGATTCCAGCCAGCTCCTCTAGTTCCTTGTCCAGTCTTCCTTGTGTGATACTTTGAGCATAGAATTCTCTAAATATTCTCTTTTACTGTCCATGAAGTAGTGGAAGAGCAGAGCTCAGGGAAGATCATAAATCTGTTCCCAGCTCCGCTTGGGCTGTGTGATGTGGGGTTACAAATAGCCTGACCTAGAAACAACTGGGGTTACAACTGGAATTTTAATTTCAATTCATGGCCAAAGTTTTAAGTTATGTCCTAAATGCTGACCACTTGTGCTTCCAGATGATCTGATACAGATTTAACCCTTATAGAGTTCCGTAAAGAACAACATCTTTTCCTGCGTGGGGTTAAATGAGAAATCTGGAGCCAATGTCTCTCTAAGGACACTGAAATCTGCCTGTAAATAGGTGAGAGACTTTGTAGGCTAGGTAGAAAAACCTGAGCCTTCAATGGACGAACTTAAGTTATAACCAGCTCTCGCAAACAATTAAGTTTGTAAGTCAAGGGTCCACTGTATGCTGATCCAATTTAATTGGGCAGTTCTTACTCAAGGTGACTCAAGTTAACTATCACACTTCCTCTTCCTCTCTTTGGATTGGAAATGCTTACATTATGCCACTGTATGTCGGAAGTATTTAACGTCTTTTGACTTCTACGCAGGCTCAAAGCTAAGAGTTTGCTTTGAGTCTCAGAGGAGACTTTGGACTTGGACTTTTCAACAATGCTGGAACTGTTAAGAGTTTGGGAACTCATAGAGATGGACTAAAGGCATTTTGCATAGAGATGCACATGAGTCTTTTGGGGGCCAGAGATGGAATTTTATGATACAGATATAAAATGACCCCCAAAGCCTTTTGAGTTTGGAAGATGGTTGGATTATGGGGCCTAAGAGCTGACTTTCTGTTGGGGTGGGGGTGAAGTTGAAAGAGGCTGGTCATAGTGAGCATGACTTAGAAAGGCGTATCTCCCTCCCTCACTGCTCATTTTCTCTGCTTTCTGGAAACTACGGAGTAGCTTTGCCTTTGTTATGTTCCTCTGCCATGCTTTTGTGTCCTGGAGCCACATGATCATGAAATATAACCATGAAACAAACACACCTCTCCTTTAAGTTGTGGATGTAAATTATTTTCTGTCAGTGACAAGAAAGTTAGTAAGACAACAGAGGTTGTTGGTTTGTTAGTACCAGGCATCTGGGAAAAACATGCTAGTGTTTTCTGTTGTGTTTGGCCAGGCTTGGTCTTATGCAGTTTTCACCTTGGCTTCAGGACTTCCTGGAAGTAAAACAATAATTCATCTCTGGTGGGAGTTTTCTGCCTCTCTTCAACATAGTATCCCTCTGAATAATATTGGTATGGTCTCTTGAGTCCAGAACTGTTTCTTGTACCTTAAAGAACATTTGGTCTTTAAGAATTTATTTATATTTCATCTGATTTCTTCTTACCCACTGTGTTACTGCCAGTACAGTGCCACTCCTACCCTTCTGTACAACCATGAAACTTTA